CCTAAAGAGCATAATCTGAACCTGAGGCTCCATTGCTCACGCGGTTCGCTCTTGTCCGGCGCCGACGTATAATGCCTGGGAGCGCCAGGGCGCGCCTGGGAGCGCCTGGGAGCGCCTGGGAACGCCGAGCCCGAGTCTGCCGAACTTATCTTACGAGCGCGTGCCTCTACGGGCGAACCGTGCGAGGCACATTCTCAGGCCGACGCCAGTGCTGCGCTCCGCCTAAAGAACATAATATGAGCCTGAGGCTCCATTGCTCACGCGGTTCGCTCTTGTCTAGCGCCGATGTATAATGCCTGGGAGCGCCTGGGTGCGCCTGGGGGCGCCTGGGCCTGGGGGCGCCGGGAAGCGCTTGGGAGCGCCTGGGAACGCTCGGGAGTGCCTGGGCGCGCCTGGGATCGCCTGGGATCGCTGGGGAGCGCTTGGGACCGCCTGGCTGGAACCGCCTGGACGCCCCTACGGCCGCTTGGGAGCGCCTGGGACCGCCTATAAAACATAATCTGAGCCTGAGGCTCCATTGCTCACGCGGTTCGCTCTTGTCCGGCGCCGATGTATAATGCCTGGGAGCGCCTGGGTGCGCCTGGGAGCGCCTGGGGGCGCTTGGGCCTGGGGGCGCCGGGAAGCGCTTGGGATCGCCTGGGAACGCTCGGGAATGCCTGGGCGCGCCTGGGATCGCCTGGGATCGCTGGGGAGCGCCTGGGACCGCCTGGCTGGAACCGCCTGGGCGCCCCTAGGGCCGCTTGGGAGCGCCTGGCAGCCCTTGAGCGCGCTAGAGAATGAACGCCCGGGAACGCCTGGGAGCGCCTGGGAGCGCTGGGGAGCGCCTGGGAACGCCTAGCCCGAGTCTGCCGAACTTATTTTACGAGCGCGTGCCTCTACGGGCGAACCGTGCGAGGCGCATTCCCAGGCCGACGCCAGCGCTGCGCTCCGCCTAAAGAACATAATCTGAGCCTGAGGCTCCATTGCTCACGCGGTTCGCTCTTGTCTGGCGCCGATGTATAATGCCTGGGAGCGCCCGGGTGCGCCTGGAAGCGCCTGGGGGCGCTTGAGCTTGGGAGCGCCGGGAAGCGCTTGGGAGCGCCTGGGAACGCTCGGGAGTGCCTGGGCGCGCCTGGGATCGCCCGGCATCGCTGGGGAGCGCCTGGGACCGCCTGGCTGGAACCGCCTGGGCGCCCCTAGGGCCGCTTGGGAGCGCCTGGCAGCCCTTGGACCGCTAAAGAATGAACGCCTGGGAACGCCTGGGGGCGCCTGGGAGCGCCGGGGAGCGCCTGGGATCGCTTGGGAGCGCCTGGATGCGCCCCGCCCCCTCGGCACAGGGGAGCCCCTGCTTGCCTCGGGCTCCAGGAAAGGAGGGGGGGGCAGCTTCGACCCCCCCACCCCGTTTCCAGCATCAAAAGGGAAGGAGGGGGGCGGGCTTGCGAAGCTCCCCCCCTAGCAAAGGGGAGCCCAGGCTCACCTCGAGCGCCGGGGGGGGGGGGGGGGGCTTCGACCCCCCCCCCAGCACCAAAAAGAAAGGGAAGGGGGGGGGCAGTTTGAAGCTGGGGCCCCACTTTTTGCTTTGCCGTCGCCGCGCGCTTGCGCGCATCTTTATCTAGTATAAGAAGTGTCAGGAACCCGAATGACTGTACTCATCAAATGACTGTACTCATCATCAATGCGACCTCAACCTGACACGCGAGATCCCTGTCGGAGACCAAGACGGGCCCACGAGCCGCGCATGCCCGTGCATCGGCATCCTAACGAAGGCCACAGCTGCAACGTTCGCATAATACCGATGACCCCCAAATGGTGGGAAAATCACATGGCTCGTGCCGCAGGCAACCCCTATGCATAGTGTCAAAGTGCCCAGAAAACATTCGCACTGAGAGCCTGCAGAGGAGGATGGGAGGAGGGAGGATCGATGATGAATAAGAGACTTGAAAGGAGGGGGGGGGAGGAGGAGGAGGAGGGGGAGGAGGGGCGAGCGAACGAGCGAACCTCGAGGGATCCACAATCATCCTGCATCTACAGTGCCACTACGCCGAACTCGCGTCGTGACTCCATTGCAGACAGGCTTGGATTCTGAGACGGGACCTTGCATCCCAACGCGGAGGAAACAAAGCGACTCTGCATGCCCTGCCTGCGCTCCCCTTCGGGGCACGGGCCCGCGAGCAACCCCCCCGCGGCGCGCAGACCTACGGGAGGCGCCCACTCAGGCGCGAGAGCCTCGCCCGCCGTCACGACGTCCGCGCCCGCCGCGTCTGCTCGGCGCGCCCCGACCGTGGCCAGGAAGGTAGACCAGCGGGTGGACAGGCAGATCTTCGTCAGCGTAGCTACTTACCAGCACGGCCCCAGATCGAGCCATTGCCGCGGTCTCTGCACTGATGCTGCCTCGAGCTTCCAACTCCGCCAATCTCTGAGAGCTGCTAAAATATCGCCCCCGTCTCCTGTCAATGCCTCCGACACGAGGCGCCAGAGCGGAATGAGCTACTTCGCGTGGTTCACCATCTTCGCGATCTCCCTCTCGAGCGGGCCCCCGGGTGCCGAGCCGTGCGCTGCCGCCCCGCTCTCGTACTGGATCACATTCCTGATGTGCGGGCGGCAAGCCAGGGCCAACTTCGACTCCTTGCTGAAGTTCGTGATCATCAGGCACTGCTGCTCCTGGCCCTCCTCCTTGCGCAGCGCCTTCAGCCTGAAGTAGAGCACCGCCTCCGCGATGTCCTCCATGCCGTTCGAAGCGATATGGTTGGTCCACGCCTCCTTGGCCTCGAGCGCGTTGGTCTTCTCTTCCTCCTGCCCCTCCGCCGCCGTGCGCTCCGCCACGTGCTGGAACGCCGCCAGGAGCACGTGAATGCGCGGAGGGCCTCGTTTCTTGTACTGCTCCTGCTAGGCGCCTGACTCCTTCATGGACTTGCTGTCGTTCTCGTATTTCTTGCCCGCCGCCTGCATGGCGGCGGGGAACCCCTTCGAAAGAGGCATCATGAAGGTCACGTACACCACTGCCGCCAAGTCGGCAACCGCTCGAGCCTGCGCCAGCACCAAGCGCCCGATGGCCGTCAAAAGCTTCATGAATTCGTCCTTCTCGCCATTCTTGCCCTTCTTGGCGACGTTTCCCTCGCCTCCTGCCGGCCCCGTGCTGCTGCCTGCCCCCGGGGGGCTGGACCACGACGGCATCGCCAACGACATCAGTTCCGAAGGCTCGGGTTGGGTGCGTCGCTGGCGCCTGCTTCAACGTCGTCGGAAGATGGCTGAGGAAATGGCTCCAGTGAGCGGGGAGATCCCCAGCTTCATGACCGCACATCGGGCACTGCAGGGACTGGGGCTCCCGAAGGGTCTCATTGCTCCGCGGTGTGGCCCCCAGGGCTCCCTTGTCACATCGCCCTCGCCTGATCGCCGCCTCCAGATGACGTGCAGCCGCGATGCGGGTCTTAAACACCTGTCGGCACCCAATGCAGATATTCGTCGGTGTCATCACATGCGCAAGATTGTGGAGGTGGTGTTGTTGGGTCATGTGTTTGAGGAGGGAGGTCTGGGTAGAGAAACGAGCCCCACATAGTTCCCCATCGTCCGTCCGCACCTCACATACAAAAGCCCCGTCGTCGTCAACCCCCTCCGTCGTAACAGCCGCCTCGTCTGCACAAGGTCCTGCTGGGAAGGCCCCAACTGTCACATCCGCAGGCGGTGGGATCTGCACGGTATTCAGCGCTGCTCGCAACCTCCCAAAATCCAAAGGCTTGAACTCTGAAGACCGTTCCACATCTGCAAAGATAGTGAAAATCCTCAAGGATCTCATCCAGGCTGCAAGAGCCCATGATCGGGGCCGCAACCCACAGGTCAGATTCCATCTGGCGAACCCAAGGCGAAGCCGATACCGACGGTCTCCCCCTCACGAGCTGCGGTGCAGTCGACTCGTGCTCTCCCCGCAGGGTCCCGAAGAGTGCACGCAGAGGTTGAACGTGCGCCGTCGGAGTTCGAGCCCAGGACTGATACCACTTAAGCCTCCTAATACGAAGGTTCACGCGACTGCCCGACCGTCGCCAGTGACGCAACACCTGAGAGGTTGTCATGCTCACCTTGTGTCCTGTCGACGTTTCGGCGCACGCCTCCCCGAGCATCGCAGTCCGTCCAGCTTGCTGTAGTCAGATTCCGTCAACACGAAAGGTTCGAGCCCGCTCAAAAGAGCATTGCCCACAAGACCCTGGAGGAGCTCCCTGCGCCACTTATATGGCAGACCTAAAGACCACACCCCTCCCAAGCGAAAGAAAGCCTGCCGCGCAGCGTCGCACCTCCGAGGGATCTCGTGATGTCCTGTCGACAGCATATTGATGTATGGGCCCAAATACCGTACACACTCGCGCACCTTGCCCCGGCATGGCATGGACCCCTGTGCGGATCTCTCTCTCAGAACCGCCTTCGCAGGCCTAGACTGACTCGCAAAGTAGAAAAGCAATTCTTGTTTATCAGCATTTTGACCGTAACCGTACATTCCCAGATAGTCATCAAGCGTCTCGTCGACCCAGTTTAGTTTGCGCAAGAAATCCGAAACCGTGCTCCCAAGATCAGCCACCACAAACTTGTTTAGGTCGTCCGCATATTTAAGAAGGCTGAGGTCTACTGATAGTTGTTGCCAGCTCGATAGTAAAACCTTGGCCGATCGGTCGTGTGTAAAAACGTGGTGTCCCCATGACGTTGTGGCCCGTCCAAAGGTCCCTAAGAATCCCTGCACCGTAAAAGGGTCCCCCATCATACCTCCACACCTCGGACGCACGCAGAACGGGCCCTCGCACGATTCCAACTCGATAACCGCATTCCTGTATCTCTGTCTACACAAGTCGGCATCGTCAGGGGACGCGCACAATGATACTGTCGTATCCAGCTCCGTCCATAAGGAACTCGCAAAAGGCGTTGCTAAGATCTTTTAGCGACATGCAGTGAGTGCGGCCCATGCGTCGTAGTCGAGAATAATGAGAAGGAGGAGGAGGAGGAGGAGGAGGAGGAGGAGGAGAGGAGGAGGAGAGAGGTCCTCCGTGAGGTTCACCACTTTCCAGTACAGTTTGTCCAGCGGGCTCAAATTCTCGATCGTGTTCCCCGCCTGGAGAAGCTCCTCTTTATCAACCCCATCCTCTCCTGTTCATCAAAGGGCTGCTCTTACCTTGCAGAGCAAGGTTTGAGAGCGCCCCACACCGAGTCAAAATGGAAGCGTTCCACCCGACACCAACACACCAATCATGCCAAAGGAAAGACACTGGAAAGGTGTTTGTAGATGTTGCTGCTACCTTTGCGGAGGCATAGTTCGGCCCCCAAGTGGCGGCAAGCGGCTGACGAGACTCGGCCGTATTTCATGTGCTGGACCCCCGTCATCCCCCTCCTCGTCCCGTAATCCCCGTGCGCCCTGCCTTGAACCACGCCTTGTAGTCCTCAAGGTCTCCGATTATGACTGGCCAGCTGATGTGGTCGAAGCCTCGGCCCAAGTCGGCAGGCCCGCGCGGACGCGCGAACGGGCATTCCCCCCCCCTTCCGTCCCTCCCTTTCCTTCCCACAGCCCCTTCCTACACCCATCCCCCACAATCACCGTCCGCGTCGGCGATTCTCTCGACGCTGCCGGCTATCCCTCAATGCTGGTCTCGCGCAGGCCCCCAACCCTGAGATTGCCCCCGACCCTCCCGAGATCCCGCCTCACCTTTGTTCTGTTCCCCACGTACGTCCCACCGAGGGCGAGCGACCATCCAACAGCCGAGGCGCGAGCATCCTTCAGAGCAGACCGCTTGACAGAGCGCCACGACGAGCTTCGAGCCAAGAGAGCCAGACATGCGATGTTTTGACTGTGTCCGTACGCGGTCCGCGGAACTCCCGACCTTTCCACAAGACTCTATCCTGAATAACATTTTGACGGTCCCAGGGTTCGGCGACGACCCCCAGAAGCCGAAAACGGTCAAAAACCTCCAGTCGTGATTTTCGCCACGACGCGAGCATGTCTAGGGAACGACCTGACGCGGCGCAATTGAAGTCGATCCGGACATTGACTGGTGGCCGGCGTTGGGGGGCCCTTCGTTGATCGAGAGAATCGCCGAGGCCGCGACACAGCAGGGCGCCCGTGGCCAGACGGGCCTCGTGGGTGTCCTTGCCGCGGCGCGTGCCACAATGCACGCGTGCGCTCGTACGCATGCTGCAGGACTGGTCGCGGGCTGATAAGGAGGTCGGGGCCCTAACTTGCTCGCGTCGTGACAAAAATCACGACGGGAGGTTTTGTACAATTTTGTCCCTTTGGGAGACCCTCGAAGGGCCACGGGACCGTCAACAAACGACTCGGACGAAAAGCTGGCCCCGGGGAAAGGGTCGGGGGGGAAAGGGTCGGGACTTCCGGGGACCGCGTACAACATACAAAACAAAAACGTTCGATGTATGGGAATAGGGAGTCGAGCACGGTTGTTTTGCACGCGTGCTCCATTCGCGCAAGCCGCACGAGCCTCGCATGAACCTGACTGGACAACAACGGGAAGTGTCGATGTGTCCGCGGATTATAATAAAGAGCGTCTCGTTGAGAGAACTCAAGGACACCCGAAACGTAGCACGCACGACCAACAACACTGGTATCGGTTACCGTTGTTGGTCTGTCGCGCTTGTCTGCCATGCTGTTGTATTCTGCCGTGCTGGTCAGACGTACTACCGTGGTCAGCCGTGCTGTGCTGTCGCGCTGATACCGGCTGTCGTGGTGTCCTGTCGCGCTGGACTGCCGTGCTCTGTGTTCTTGTTGTCTGTGCTGTCTTGCCGCGCTAGACTGCCTCGCTGGACTGTCGTGTTCTTGTTGTCTGTGTTGTTCGCGTCGTCCTCTGAACTCCTTCTCTTGTGCCCTGCTTCTCTCTTGTGATCTGCCGTGTTGTTGCGGTTTGCCGTGCTCTGGGCTGCCGTGCTGGTTTGCCGTGCAAATTTGCCGTGCTGGTCTGCCGTGGTCTGCCGTGCTGATCTGCCGTGCTGGTCTGCCGTGCTCTTGTGGTCTGCCATGCTGATCTGCCATGCTCCTATGGTCTGCCATGCTGCTCTACCATGCCGGTCTGCCGTGCTGGTCTGCCGTGCAAGTTTGCCGTGCTGATCTAATTACCGTGTTGGTGCGCCGTGGTGGTCCGCCATGCTGGTCTGCCGTGCTGGTTTGCCGCGCTGGTCTTGAATGCTGTTCCGCCGTGATCCTGCTAATCTGCAGTGCTGGCCTGCCGCGCTGCTCTGCCATGATGGTTTGCCGCGCTGGTCTGCCGTGCTGGTCTGCCGCGTTGGTCAGCCGAGCTGGTTCTTGTGGTTTGCCGTGGTGATGTGTCGCGTTGGTCTGCCGTGCTGGTCCGCCGCGCTGGTCTGCCGTTGAAATGGCGGGGCCCTAAAGACAGAAGAAAAAAAGGGGGAGAGGAGAGGCGCGTAGGCCCACCCTCGACCCGCGCGGGGGAGGAGCCAACTCAGGCCGCCCGCCGAGACCCCGACACAAAACGGCCCAAGCACGAGACGGGGCGGCGGAGGCGGAGCTGCCGAGAAGGCACGACAGTGGCCCGCCCCCCACGCATGCTCACCCTGCCTCAAACGTGCGAGGATCTCAACTGCGCTGTGACGCGAACGTGTAAAGACCAGACAGGAGGGCTACGCTCGCAAGACAAAGAAACGTGAGAATCATTTTGCCGCGGTCAGCACGCGCCCTCCTCAGGGGCGCCACCGCGCGGCTCACGTGGCCCGGGGCCCGCCCTGACCTGCAGCCGATCCCTCATGTCCAGCAGCGGCCGTTGCTGAGGCCCCGCCCGCGCCACTCCTCCAACGGCGGCTCGCCCTCCGCTCCGCTCGCCGACCGCGCGCGGAGGGCCCGCGAGCACCTCGGCCAACGTTGTCGGCGCCGCCGGCGCATCCTCCGCGGCGCCGCAGGCGGCGGCGCGAGCGCCTGCGCTCTTGGTCGTCAGCGGCGGCCGCCGCCCAGTAGGCCATCTCGCCTTCGTCGAGGCCGCGGGCCGCGAGGCGGCCGGGGCGACCGCGTCGCCCGCGTCGCCATGGGGGCCGAACCAGGGCAGGTAACACAGGCGCGCGTCGTCTGGAACGGACGACACCCTGCGGTGCTCGCGCGCCCCCTGGCCCCGCCGCTGCAGCCGCGCCAGCCTCGGGCGCCCTTCAGGATGGCATCCGCGCCCCCAGAGCCCCCGCTGGTTGGCCAATGCCTTATAATTGTGGCCCGAGCGTGCCCGGCGCGCGGGCCCTTCAGCTCCTCGGACCGAAATCCGCTGCGCCCTCCAAGCCGCGCGCGGGCCCCGCTGTCGGCGCGCGCCATGCCCCCCCCCCCCCCCCCACACACCGCCCCATCGCAGCGGGCATGGGCGAGCGCCTGGCCGAGGAGGACGGAGGCCGCCGCGCTCGCCGCTGCGCCGCTGGCCGCCGCCGCCGAGCGGACCCCTGGGAGCCGCCTGCGCTCGGCCTTCGGCGCGGCGACTGGGGCCCCCTCGCCCCCTCGGCAGGCCGCCCGAACTGGGCGCGACGCCTCTCGTCACCCTCGGGTAGACTCTCGGCGCCCTTGGCCTCGACGCCCTGCAGGGCGATTGAGGCGCGGCGCCATCGACCTCGCCAGCTCGCGAACCACCTCGGCGCAGAAACGGTGCTCGCTGACCGTGGCTTCGTCGAGCATGCGCAGCCGAGCTCCTGCCTTGGCCAGCTTGTCGGCGCGCTCGTTGCCGCGCCGCTGGGCCTCCGTCAGCTTCCCGTCCAGGGCGGCCTGCCCGGCGCAGCGCGTTGGAATTTTGTTCACCGCGATGGCCCCCTGCTCGAAGATCGCGCGGATCCTCTTCGCGTTCGGCCCGTTGGCGGCCGCGGCGCAGGCCGCCCCGCGCCGCGGGCGCAGCGCGGTGGGGCCGCGGTCGACGTTGAACTTCTCCACCGCGGGCTCCGCATAGTTGCGCAGCATCCAGACCGCGAAGCCCCTGCCGTCCCGGGCCGCCCGTCGCGGGCACAGGTCCCGCCGCGCCGCGCCGTAGACGCCGGCAACTAAACTACCGTCGCCGTCGCGCTGCCCGATCATCCGGCCAGCCCTGCGCAGCGCGCCACTGCTGGGCCCCGCCGCGGGGCCGTCATGGCACAGCTGCCCAGTCAGCTCGTCGCCATCGGGGCGCTGCATCCACCGCAACTGCAAAGCGTCGGCGCGGGGCCCCTGCTGCGCAGGCGGGGCGGGGAACCAGCGCCACGCGCAGTTCTCGCCAGCCTCCCCGCCGCTGGCTCTGGCTCTGGTCGAACAGCGGCGGGGTCGCGCAGACGCGCTGTCTCGCCGAACGCTCTCGAACATGGGGCGCTCAAACAGCCCGCGCCAGAGCGCCCCGCGGGCCGCCCCGCCCACGAAGCACCTGCAGCGCCCCCATTTGGTCAGCGCGGCAGAGCCGCACGTGGGGCCAGTGCGAGTTGGAGACGCAAGAAACAAAACCTGACTGCCCCCGAGATCTCAGCTCCCCGCCAGGCCCCACGAGGCCGGCGATAGCACCCCAGAAGAAGGGACCCCCGTAGCGCCCAAGCCCGCCTCGACGCTGAGCCCCCTGGGGCCGAGGAGAGCTTGTCCCCCGGCTCGCGACGAGGAGCCCGTCGGACTCGAAGTGTCAGCCTAACCTCGCCATCGCCAGCGCCACTGCATCGACGGGCGAAGCGCAGTGCACCCAGAGATTGGTAACCGACCCCTGCGTGGCGGGCCACCGCTGTCTCCAAGGCCCTTGGCCACCATGCGACTCTGGCAGCGCGCCAGACAGGGTAGGGGGCCGCCAGAGCCAGCGACCAGCGCCCCTGGGTCGAGGTCCCGACACCGCGCTGCCCTAGAGAAACGCAAGCGGAAGCCCAACGCAGAGCCACTGGGCAGCCTGCCCGCACTGCGAGCCGCCGCCGCCCGCCAGCAGTGCAGCTCGCCGTCGGAGATGCCCGTGACGGTGCGGCCCCAGATAATGCCGGCCGCGAGCCCTGCCTTGTGGACCAGGTCCGCCTGCGCGCCTGCCGCATTGAGGCGTCGCATCTTGCGCGCCCTCGACAAAGCTCCGACCGCCCTTCGCCGACCCTCGTGGACACCGCGCTTGGTGATGCTGACGTCGGTGCCGAGGTTCCGCGCCTGCAGCGCACGGTGGAAAGTCCAGCCATGGCCCTGCCAAAGGTCGCCGAGCCGCTTCGCGAGCGCGGGGTTGGAGGCCAAGAAGCTGGTCTCCGCCGCGCCGAAGGGCAGGCGTTCCTCGCCCAGCAACCAGGCGACCTCCAGGCCTGCGCTGCCGAACTGCTGCGCCGCCAGTTGCTCGGCGCCGACCTGGAGCGCGATGTCGCCCACCACGTTGCGAGCGATCACCAACGGGCCCCCCGCCCGACAACGCGGCTTGCGACACTCCCAGCCCAGGCAGCTTGGCCACGGCGGTAGTGCAGGCGCACCCTGCGAGGACGGTGCCAAGTGCGGCGAAGGTCGACGACGCGAGGCCCACGGAGCTCACAAACGCGGACCCCAATGCATCGCCAGCAGGCGTCGGAGGAGGCGAAATTTGAATCCGCGGGCGATCGCACACCGCCAGAGCACATCGTGCCGAAGGCTCTCGTAGAACCTGGTGAAGCCCAGGAACAAGCACCCCGCTGCCAGGTCGCACCCTATCTCGCGAAGGCCGCAAAAGCGCAATGCAGCCAGCCCGCCATCTCGCAGCCGCGGTCCGCCTTGCCCCAGAAGAAATGGTAGTCGCGATCCTCCCATTGCGAGCAAATTGGCTGCCGCAGCCTGCTCCGCAACCGAAGGAGCAGCGGGATCAGGGAAATCGGCCGCGCTCCTCCACCGGCCTTGGGGATGAAGACGACCATCGTGGCCAACTCAACTAGGCGTCTTGGCCCCTACTCAAAGGCTGCCAAGGGGTCGAGGAGCAGCCCGCGATCGCCAGCCACCAGGGCCCGCCGCCAAGCAGCGGAGCGCTCGCCGCGAGAGCGTGGCTGCCGAGAGGCGAAGAAATCGCTGGGGGGCGACTCCGCCCGCGCAATCCCCCAATGCCCGCCCGAACGCGCCCAAGACTGGTTTGAACCAAAATGGCTACGAAATGCTGGTTTTCCGTGCGAGTCTGCCGTGCTGGTCTGCCGTGCTGTTCTGCGGTGTTTGCCTGCCGTGCTGA